GAGGCACAATTTATAGGGGTATGTGGGGAAGATAACAATTGACACTAGATTTAATCAGGTTAAACTTGTAGTGATTGGGGAAGCATCCTCTAAGGTCAGTTAATTTTGGAACAGTAGTTGTATGAATTTCAGGTCTGACTTCACTGAATAAGCATGCAATTGTCCTTCCAATCCCACCAGATACACAGCATCCCCTTCTTCCAATGCAAACCAACTTTTGGAATGGTTAATGGTGGCTCACTTTGTTTTCTCTAGGACCTTTTGGACTCAATATTTTTGTAAACCACCCAGTTTTTCACTGCCTGTGAATATTCTTTCAAAAATGAGTTGTTTTTCTTGTGTTTGAGCAGAGAATCACAGATGAAAATGCAGTTCATTAAATTTAAATTATGAGGCACTCAAACCTCATAACAATTCCCATATCCAAGTATTTTCAAATGACTTACAATGCTCATATGAGATATGTGGAGTATATTAGCAATGATCAATGTTGTGTGACTTGGATTATTTTTAAACTTTCAATTTTGCCTATCATCCAGTTCACACTCTTTCCCGATCTTTTGAACAAGAGTAAAAGCTTATTATCCCTTGTTTCCTGTTTAGGATTTGGTGTCCAGTTCCTTCTAAAGTCTGCTTTAGCTCTATACTCCTAACACTTGTCCTTGAGGTATGCTAATATAAGTACATACAGTAACCCTCTACTTTGAGTGGCTCTTGGTCCTTGTGTGCACATTAGTAAAACAAAATGTGAAAAAGGAAGAAAAAAACTTAAAAAAGCATCAATATGTGAAATTACTTACCAACACATTTATTTGCTGATTATATTCAACCAGAAGTACACTTATTAATTTTCTTTCTTGTACTTCTCTCTACTATGTCTCACCTCACAGCATCAATTTTTTTGCTAAAACTCAGTCTGTATCCCTCATTTATTGAACATTTTTCCTAGAAAATTGTTCACCTTTTCTGCTGTAGACTCACTTTCACATTTAATCTTAGGTGATGTATTGGTTTTCCTCTGTTTATACTGAATTTAGATATAGGTATTCCAATTAGAAAAAATCGGAATTGGACATCTATTGTTTATAGTGAGAATGCTTAGCACAGACCTATTGAAATTCCATAAATCTGAACCAGGTCATCCAAGATGTCCTACCAATCAAATTCAATTAAAAAATGATTGATCTTACAATAAGTATTGAGTAAATTAATCTCTTTTTCTTTCTTTCATCTTCTGTTAAAATATTTGATTTTGATATGAATCAAGAACTTTGAAAAATCTCCCTTATTATACACAGTAATGCATCTTGTTTCTTTATGAAATGAATAGTGTTTGAGGATGATTATTCTGCTTACTTTATTGAAGTAGATTGAGTAAACACAGAGTTTACTTGACTCATTTGTTAAATAAACACATGCTTACTAGAATTAAATCTTTGTAATTTTTCATACTATTCTATAAAAGTTCAAACAGCAAAAGAACTTGATCTAATTGATCAAACTTTGAATACATATTTCTTTAAAAAAAATTTTCATAAAGATGATCAATTAGGCATTTTTTCTTTCTTTTTGCTGAAAAATAATTTGTCAAAACTAGGTCAATGAATTTAAAAATGACTCTAGTTTATCAAAATTTGATATTTAATTTTATTATGCCAGTACTAATTTTGTGTTCATAATGATTTAAATTTATTCAAAAAAATTTAAATATTAAAGAAAATAAATTTCAAACCAGATCATGTTCTAGCTTTTTATGTTTGATGTAAAGATTTACTAAATATTAAAAAATGGTCATTGGCTTCTGAACAAACTATACTTATCATAGGCAACACACAATTAAGTTTTCTCAGAAGTCCTGAGACGATGTATAATTATCTTGAAAACTATTGAGACTAGCATTCTCATCTTTCCTGTTTCACTCAGAATATTTTTGCAAGCACTCCCCAGGCTTCCTTAAATACATACAATATCTGGTAAAATTCTAAAACATGCAATTAACATACTCATATAGAGTTCTGTTATACAAAAAAGAATTAATATTATGATCTGATTTTGTTAATATTCTATGTGTTGTAGTTGTTTTTTCACTATCTTACTTGGATGAGCAAAAAGGAAATGATCAAATTTGAAATATTATTTGAGGATAAGGATACTAACTTGGATAGTTCCTGGAATATAACTCATCATATTTCATCTTTTCTACTAATAAACCCTAAACTAATTTAAGTAATTTCCTGTAAATAACTATAGGAAAGTATAACATTATTAGTTAACTTGGAGCATACAAAAATTTATTTTTTTTATCTTTTGTTGTTAACTAGTTAATAAACTGCCCCTAGCATAGAGGATTTTATTGGGAATAACATTTTTATATGACTACCAAATTGTTGTTGGATCTTAAGTTCTTACAATTAATAGGAATTAAGATTAATTTTTATCAACATGACTCAAAACACAAAATATAATTATCATGGACTGTTTTACTTTTATTTTTATGTTTTTCTTTACACTCAAGTGCACTTATCTCTATAATGTTTGTTACTTTTTATCAATAAATGAATGATTAATAAAAATAAAATGAAGACTTGAGTAATACAATCTTTCTATTTGCATTCTTTCCTTTGCTGATCTAAGTTAAGCTTAATTTATACTAAGTAATAAATAAAGTGTCCTTAAACTGATTACACATCTAGTTAGTTACATGACAAATATCAATGACAAAGACAAATAAACAATAAGAAACATTTGTAGAAACATGAAACTTATTTATTAAAAGAACAATACTACTATCTTACTGTCTGCACTTGATGTTACATTGGCCAAAGACATGGGTAGATAAGTACAAATGATTTGTATGATTTGATTGAGATATATATATATATATATATATATATATATATATATATATAAGAAGGTGCTGAAAACCAACTTCCCAAAATCTGCCAACGTAACTGTTGTATCTTGCATTTTCAAGATAAGAGAGAGAAATAAATAAGAAAGACAAAACTCATAGTTAAGTAATGAAATAGAAGGTTTATTACACAATGGTACACTGAGCAATTGACCGAATGCTAACTCTGCTCAACTCCATTTAACTCCACTTATTTACATAAACAAACAATTCCCTTCATTTATGTCCTATATGACAATAACCAATATCAGTTTTTCTTTCTCTTTTTTTTTTTTGTTTAGAATGTCTCCTTGTGTCAGCAAAGAATTTGTGGATTGCCCCACTTGGCTCTGCAAAAATGCCTGTCATGGGGCATTCTTGTGATCTATAAAAAGGAATCATATTCTCTTTTCAGCTTTTTCTCCCAGATGTAGTCAACATAAAGAAAATTGCCAACAGGGCACATTTGCTTCCTTGGTCATCTGTTGACTTTTGAACTATCTTACACATGCACATAAACACATGTCTATCACACACACAAGCACATTCTCATAGCTAGTTTCAAAGTCTTTCAAAGGCAGTCATATTCTCTAACTTGTTTTTCAGTGTGAAACAGTACTAATATATTTTCCAGAATGTGCTATATTCTGACTCATTAGGAATTCTACAGTACCCTGATATGGCAATACTTCAAATAAGTACATTTTCATCAGCATGTTAATCACTCATTTCAACTACATCATTTGACTCTTTTTCACTTCAACCTACAAAGAACAGAACATACTTGAACTTTATAGACATATTGGCAAAATAAAATTCTCCCTATCTGGTGGAGACCCTGTGGGTCACTGAAATTGGCTTTTCCAAAATGCCTATTAGGGTATGCTCTTGAGATCTATAAAAAAGGCAATCATATTCTCACTCTTTCTCTTTTTAACTCTTGCTTCCAGATGTAGTCAACATAAATAAAGAATACTGTTAACGGTGCATTCACTTCTTTGGTCTGTTCTGGGTATGACAATAAACTACGTCCGACAGCAAAGCCTCTGATCAGGAGGTTTTGAGGAGCATGGAACCACCTCTTAATTGCTGATGTTCCCAGGTTCACTCTGACTCGGGGTGGTGGCACCTGTTAGGGTCCGAGCTATGGGCAAATAGTTAACCCCCAAACTAGAGTCAAAACACAATGAAAGTGTAAAAATAGGTTTTAATACCAGAAATACTTTGTAAAAAAATTACTACCAGTAATATATTTAAAAAAAAAATATTACCAGCAATACATTAAAAAGAAAAATATATTACCAGCAATACATTTAAAAAAAAAAAAAAAAACATTACCAGCAAAGAAAGATTATAAACAGAAATAGATTTTTGAAGGAAAAAGATATTACCAGAAATGGATTTTTTGAAGGAAGGAATATTACCAGAAAGATTTTTGGAAAAAAATATTAGTAGCAATAAAAATCTTGTTGCTTATTAAATGACCCATTGAGGTTGATATGCTGTAAACCAAACCAAACCATTTCCTTGATCTTCTGTTAACTTTTGAACTTTCTCACACATACATACAAGCACATTCTCATAGCTAGTTTCAATGTCTTTTCCTTTCATTTCATTTGTGCTCATATGTAATTCCTTTTGTTAATAACATGTATTGTCATTTGTTTTATATTCATTATTTCGTGTTTCTTATTTTCACCTTGACTCACAGGAGTTCGCCAATATTGTTTGCGGGATAAATATTCCAGGAACCCATAAATATTTAATATAAAATGTCTATAACCATCACAACCAAATAGGTGATACATGCAGCATAATGGTGACTAATTATTATTCAAATATCATGGATTCCCACAACAAACTTATACCTTTATACTATTACAATAGGTGCAGAAAATTAAAACCTTAATATTTATGCATTATTTAACCCAAATGCCAAGTTATATTTTTGAAATTATTCTTTGTGGAATGTTTGTGTATCATGTGATTGTATTTAGCAATTATCCATGAATTTAGTAGATCTGGTGATTTGAGGATTTTTGTTTTTTTAAGAACCTGACCATTTAATTTTTTTTGAGTTCTTTTATACTTTTTTTTTTTTACTTTACAGAGTGTGAAGAAGTGATGGATTTAACCAAAGATGAAGATGATGAATTTGGGTTACACATCTTGGATAGTCACCCAACCATTGTTACCTCAGTGGATCCAGGCAAGTAGACATTTTTATTCTAATTACATATTTATCATAACCTTACAACTACACTTTTAGAAGTTTTAAAATCAGGTAAAAATATCATATTCACAATTTTGTTGGCACTGTATTTTTAAAAATCAAATTTAAACATTTTTTAATATACATAAAAGTATTCATGTACTTGAATAAGAAGCCTTACAAAAACCACAAAATATTCTGAATAAAAAATAAAAGATATTGAATCTATTGAAGATTTTAAGCCATAAATCCATAAAATAAAATAAAGCTATAATGCATTAAACAAGTCCAAAAGATGCTGATGATAATCTTGGAGAATTTAGTCAGATTTAAATAACTACGGAAAAGTTTTTTCAACTCTTAGCAAAATAGACTTGTTTTTTCTTTTCTTCATGTCAACACTTATTGATACTCTCCCCTTATACAAATAAGTTTAATTTACAAAAAGTCTAACTTTACAATATACATCTTCTTGTTGGTATAAAATAATATACTGAATATAAAGTAAACTATTTGCTTTAGTAACTGAATACTGGAGATTATAACTAAATTTGATAAATAGCAAACATGTTACTAGATGTCCTGCATATACATGGATCCAAATATTGTAAAGAAAAATTAATAAAAAGAAATAAAATGCATACTTTTAGGAGATATAATTAACTGCAGAATATTAAATCTGTAATCGGTAATCATTACCTGATGGAATGATGTAAGTTATATATTAAATTGTATCAATGTGTTTATTCTTGGTTTCCTTAGAATTTACTAGCTGAGGCAATTATTCAGTTCATTATATCAAGACTTTTTAATTGACATACATTTCTTGAGACTAAATTTTAGCTCAAATTAATTTAATTAATAATGAATGGTTATTCTATATTTTTAGCCAAGGTTTTTGATTGTATCTCATTTTTATTGCATACCTTTCAGTGTGTGTATATATATATATATATATATATATATATGTGGCCCCAAAGTTGACTATGGCTATCAAAATGAGACAGAAGCCATTACAAGTGATGTGAAGGGTGAGGAGGCAGCTCTCATCTGACATAGTAAGATGTGGCAATGGTCATATATATATATATATATATATATATAGAGAGAGAGAGAGTGTGTGTGTGTGTGTGTAATGTTTCAGTTAGATTATATTAGAAATATTTTTGTTTACTTCATTTCACTTAAATAAAAAGATATGAATCAGTAACTGCTATCCTTAAATTTTCCGAAAATGCATTTAAAAATTCAGGTCATTTCATGTGTTTAATGAAAAAATTCAAGACATTATTTGGATTCAATTTGCTATCAATCTCTCCATTTACAGTCCTTTCTTTTTATTGATGTCTTAAATCAATATTGCAATTTGAAATGAAATTATAGATATTGAATCTTAATTTCTGATTGACATTTAAAAAACTAAACAAAAACTATTGGCAGTATAATCAATTTCAAATATCTCATCATATCTTTACACTGATAAAGTGAAAATGTACAATCTCTCTTCATTGCTCCAGGCTATATAAAATGAGTTGTTATTACTATGCAAATTCCTGTTAGTCTTCTGATTCCTAGTGATCATACAGTTTTGTCAATTTTAATGGTCACCTTTACAATATATTTGCATTAGATAGATTCAACCAATCACAAGCTAACCTTCTCAATGAAATAGATTTGGATTTTAATTTTCAGTTTAAAAAAAATAAAGTATGTTCTAATGATATTCATTTTTTATGCTCATAAATATTCATTCTTGTATTCTTTATCAACTTTTAAAAGAAATATAAAACTTTTGTAAAAATCCAGTTTAGTCTGATGCTATTGTACACAATGATTTTTTCTTTTGCAGTTATTGTTTCGATACCACTGAGAATAAATACCAGTATGAAGAGCTTATTTTCTCTTGCTCTTTGTTATGAAATGAAAAGATAGAAACTTTGTTTTGATTATGAATAAGATCAGGACAATGCTATAAGAAATGTTATATGTACATATTATAAATAATTCGATAAATATTAACACCTTTCTTATTTTATTTGGTCTAACATCCTCATCTATAGTGGTTTTGTTTTTACTTTGGCCTGTTCTTTTCTATCACAATTTATAATATATAACAATACATATGAAATATCTTTTGTGTTTGCTTATATATATATATATATATATATATATATAAAAATATATGAGTGTGTGTATGTGCATGTATGTATAGATAATTACCTAACCTAACATCTTTCAAGATTGTTATTAGAATTTGTTTGAATTTTTCATTTTGTCTAAATATTTTACATACAAGACATAATTATGATATAGACAAATGTAACCTAAAGAATAAGATGCAGTTAAATACTCTTTTTACTTTTACCTTTCATAAGCCAAAAATCAAACTACACAATTTCTTTGTTTTCTCTTATTAAATTCAACAGGATTAACATGTTTATTTGAAAAATTATACAAATGTTTCTTTTTGCTAATAACAAAAGAAACATTCAACATAATTTATGATCTAAAAATGCTGAATAATAATAATAATAATAATAATAATGTATCTATAAAATGTATTTTTATACCCATTGTATATTGCTACATTTGTACTATTTTCTTTGTCTTTGTTGTTAGTATCACATTTTGGGGATCCACTCTACCCATCAGCTTTTCTTAGTGTCTGTTCTATATCAGAATGTTAATAGTTGATAAGGTTAGATGTTTTCCTTTGCATACAAGTCATGTCCATTGCCTTTCTTTATGTATTCTTAGTACAGTTCTCCTTACATCAACTACCTGTTTTCTCTCAGAACAGCTACAAACTTTACCCTTGATTGAATTGATAATTATCCAATGGTATCAGATGAATTTCACCAGAATTTCCATTATGACACTAAGTAAGGATTTTTGGAAATTCATATTCATCAGTTGTTCTTTTTTAATCAGCGGCTATTATATATTATTAATATCTATGCTTTCTCTACTGATTGGATGATTTGAGCATAACATCTGCTGCTACAATAAGATTTTCCAATATCATTCCATGTCAACTATTTTAGTTTCATTATATTTTCCTCCATACATGATCAGTCACACCTGATTTTATAGTTTCTCCACAGATTACAATAATAGTCATCAAAACTATTTTTAGTGAATGGCTGGTTTTCTGATATTGTATGGACTGCAGATCTTCTGATTTCTCTGTCTTGTTTTTTTTTTACAGTGAAATTCACCCAGTACAAGACCCAGGGGCCACACAAGGTAGTGGGTTAATGTAAGTGGCAGTTTATGTGGATAGGAAGGGAAGATAATGGTTAACCATAGATTTGAGATTAAGATTGTAGTGATCAGGGAAACATCCTCTTGGGAGTCAGTTCCACAGAGTAGTGGTTTGCGAAAAGAAGCTGTTTGAGTGGAACTTACTTCTCACCAATGGATCATGCTTCTGATATATGTTAGCATAGATGTTATCAGTTTTCAACTGCATCTGCTCATGGTTACTGCTGATATTATATTTGCAGGTTAGCTATTTCTTTAGAGAATCTATTTTAAATAGTGTCCAGTGTATTTCAACTTGTGATATAATGATCTTGAACCAAGGCTATCCCAAGTAAAGGCCTAGCAACTGCACAGTATATGTGGAGGCAAGTATGTTAGACCTAAATTACTACAAACCTACAACTACTGAGAAAATGTTTAACAAGGACCTTTTTAATGATTACAATAATTAGTTAATTAGCAACTATACATAATACTAGAAATCAATTATTATTTATTATACATACAGAAAAAGTAACTGTCTAAATCAGTCCAAAAATAACTACAACTTTTACAAAAAATACTCATCAACAAAGCATAAAAAAAATTTGGGGAAATAATAATGAAACACATTGAAACCATCTCATTAATACTGGAAATTTTCTGGCTATATTTATGAGATGAGGTATTGTAATTATTTACACTATTTACATTGTTTGGACTCATCTTCATTGCCATAACCATGATATTTTAGTCATAGTATGCTCCAGTCTTCTTCAGGTGATTCGAATTTCAAACTGAACCTTTTATTTTGTCCACCACAAAAAAAGTTACTGAGACATTAGATTTATTAGTGCAAAAAAAAAAAAAACTTGGAGAGTTGAAGTAAAGTGAGATAACTGATAATGAGGCATCTGGAAGGGGCATGGCATGTGGAACTAGAAAAATCTACCTAAAATAAAGGTTCAGTATGAAATTCCAATCACCTCAAGAAGGCCATAGCGTACAACAGTCGAAACGTTGTGAATATGGTAATGCAGGTGAGGACAACAGTCCAAACAATGTAAATAGTGTAAATAATTGGAAAGTTTATTACACAAGTTTTTTTAAAACATATTTATAGTCTTAAATTTCATACACATTATTTGCCTTCATTTTATAAAATAGGAAGAAAATACTTATATCATCATACTAAAATTTTTGAACAATTTCAGATCCTATAATTCCATTAGGAAATGTACTGAGGATAATACCCTCTATAATCATTTGTAAATCCCTCTGGTAAGGCCAAAGCATGAAGCTCTCATCTCTATATGAGAGCCAGAATGTTGGTCCCAATAGTACCATTCTTAAAGTCATTTCCTCTTAGTATTTTCATGTATATTTTTGCCATCACTGGAGACAATGATGATCTCATGATCATACCTTCTTCCCATCGATATATGTCAGAAATAAGCTGGAAGTACTTCATTTACACATAAAATGTTTACATTTTAATTAGGTTGTCTATCAGGATATAAGTACATTTGCTGTTAGGTCAGACTCCAGTAAAAACAAAGAAATTAGTCTAAAACAATAAACAAGGAATACAACAGTTAAAAATTAATACAAAAAGGGATTTAAGTCTACAAGTTTTAGTGACATAAGTAGTGGCAAATACTATATTTATCACTTATCACTCTAGATCTATTCAAATTATCTAGCTATTAATTTATTCTCTCTGCATATATATATATATATATTATATATTGTCATCCA